TCCCAGCCCCACCTCTCCACTGGCCTGCTGGCGGAGAAGAAGCTCCTATTTTTGAACGGCAGTGGAATTCCTGTGGAGTTACATTCTGCATCATTAGCAATACTCAGAGAATTCAGCATGATTTAAGTTATGGCACGGGATATGTGCTGGCCTCAAAGTGCCACCAGCTGCCTCTTGCTAATGGGCTGTTTTGTGCCCATGCCATCGACAGGGTTCTGAATCTTCCCATCATATAGTTTATTAGTTAAGCCTACTTATTCCCTCTTCCCTCCTAGAGAAGGGCTTGTGTAACGCTGACAGACCCTGGTCGTTGGCAGGCAGGATTGAACCTGCAGCTTAGTGCATGACCCTCTACCGCATGAGCTAAGAGCCAACTGGCTGTTACCTAAGGCTGTAGAGCGGACTCATTTTGTCTCTCTCTTTAAGTGGTCTCGGTGCCACTAGATGGGACAGAACACGACACCCAGAAGGTGTGTGGCTTATACTTGCATCCAGATGCACCCTCCAGCTCGTAGAACCTGCACTGACCAATGCAGCACTGCGCCCCTTCCCTTCTCCCGGCTGTGCGCAAACAACGCTCCCTCTCCTGCGGTGGAGAAGCCAAAGCAGATGAAAGCAGCAGCAGCCATGTCCCTACAGGCTGTGGTGTTAACTCCCCCGTAGAGCCACATGCCCCAGTGCATGGCACAGAGCAAGCAGAGTGACACCTCCCACTCCTGCAGGCTGTGAGGGCGTTTCAGCTGCAAAGGTGCAGAGCTGAATGCATGGCACAACACAATGAGAATGGTGCCCCTACCCCTGCAGGCTGCGGTGCCTAGTGCATGGCATAGCGTGGGGAGATGCGCACCTGTAGTGTGGGAGGATGTTTCCTGTGCAAGACCACTACAGTCATATACGTTCTCTACCCCTGCTTACTAAATTCTCCTCCAGATTTCAGCAGGGCTGCACTGGGATAACCCAGGGGAGAGCTTGGCTGATGCTCACCAGTAGCCTGCGTACTTGGATGAAGAAACACTTGTTTTGCTTCATCTGGAAAACCCGATGGCTCTTCCTTTTTCTCCTTCAGCCTGTGTTTTATTCCTCATTGTTTTTGTACTCCTTACTCCTGGATGTCAGCTCAGACCAGCCTGGCTGACCTCCTGGTGTCAGCTCACACCAATTTGGAATCCTCCCATTTGGGGGAGCTGGGAAGTTATTTGGGGAATGGGGGAGGGTTGTAGCTTAACCAGTTTGTGGAGGCAGAGGGAGTGGGAGGCTGATCCCCCTTCCCTCAAGAGAAAATAACGGAACTGCCTAGGACGAGGGCTAGCATAACATTGGCAGCTGAGCCAACGACAGGCGGAGACGCCAGTTGCATGCTCATAGGGGGATTGAGGGAAATCAGAGAATTGTCCATTCCGGAGATGTTTGGTCTCTCTAGCGTCTTTGGGGAGATTGGCGGGAAGATCTGTGTGCTTACCCTGCCGCTGTGGGAGAAATCAGGAACCATTCTTCTCTCTAGCCCATCACTCACCCCCTAACACGGCCTTGAACTGCACAAGTCTCTCGAGGGAGGAAATTATAGTTCCTCACAATTAAGGGTAGAAAAAAAATGTTGCTGGTGTCAGGGGACCAGCAGGCGTCGGCCAGAAAAACATCATGTCTCCAGAAGAGAGGCGTCAGGAATATCCCTCTGAACACAGCTGACGTCAGCCCCCGGAAACTGGATGGCTCGGGAGGGCTTGGGGCTGTTTTTCCAAGATATCACAGGTCAAGAAGCAATGTTATTTTTAAAACCTGGGTCCCCCGAGCAGCCCATGTGCATGAGGGAGCTTTTCTACTCCCTCCATTCCTGTTATGTTTGTGCTTCTGTTCCTTCTGAGTCATGCCACAGAAATGTCCTCCAGGTTTATTTATGGGCTCAGAAAGGGATTTTCTCTCCCCTCCCCATGTGTTCTTTGTGTTTTTTGGTTGGTTGGTTGGTTGGGTGGGTTTTGTCTCCTTCCTCTGAAGCATCAGAGGTGGCCACCGCTAGAGATGGGACACTGGACGGGGTCAGCCAGTGCTCTGAGGTGGCACCGAGTGTTCTCTCTCTCAGGTGCTTGGCTGGCTGGTTCTTGCTCATGTGCCCAGGTTTAACTGATCACCATCTGTGAGGTCAGGAAGGAATTTCCCCCAGGTCAGATCGGCAGTGAGCTTGGTGGGGTATCACCTTCCTCTAGAGCCAGAGGTACAGGACATTTGTCGGGATCGAGAGGGTATATCCCACCTAATCAATTGCCTGACATTGTCGGGGCCTCAGGCATTGGTGCATCTTGGTCCCTTCTGTTCTCAGCCTGTGGCACATACCAGTGTAGTCTCCAGAGGGTTTCAATACTTGATCTAGTTGGTGTAGTGGTGTTCAGTGTGTGAGTGCCGGGCGCTGTTGATGGCCTGCAATATGCAGGAGGTCAGGTGGGATGACCTGGGGGTCCCCTTTTCTGATTGCTCCTGCCCTGGTGGGGTTGAAGAGATAGTGTCATCACGGCGCGTGTTGGGGAAAGCCTGACAAGGCGATGCAGAGGGATCAGATTTTCCTAACTTTGCTGCATCTGGGTGGGGAGTGGCTGCTGTCTGCGATTTAGATGGCAGGGGAAGTGTTTTCTGCAATCGCTGCTTGTGATGAGAAGTGGAGTAAGAAATGGGGTCCTCTCAGCCCCATCCTGGACCACCACCAGTAGCTCCAGCCATGGTTTCCCAAAGTGACGAATGATTTGGGGGTGACTCTGTTTTGGGGGCACCTGAGACACCGTCCAGGGGCTTGATTCTCAGAGGAAACAGACTCAGCGCTTTGTGAAAACCAGGCACCTGGAGGTGGTCTCAGTTCGGGTACCCAAAAATGGAGGTGCCTGATATTGCTAGTCAATATTGAAAATTTTGGCCGTTTCAGAATCCAATTCAAAATGTCCTCTTTGGTTTTCCTGTGCCCCGTGGGCCTGCTTTCAGCCTGCTTCAGGGGCCTTGTTTCTCTCTTCCAATCCCTTTCTGCTCCTGCATTCTGCCAGCCACAGCCTCCTCTCTGTCTCTCCATCCTCCCCTGGGTGTGTGTGTGTGAGCTTTCACTGCAGTCCTTGGCATCCTGAGTAGTGTATTTGCATATCTCTAGGTCTCATTGAGTCTTCTCCTCATTCCAGATATCAGATGGGAAAGTGTCTTTTCACCCTGGCCCATGCGTAGTTTTTCGGTCTCTCTGCCGTCACTGAATGCTCTTGTGCATTATAGCATACAGCTTCTGTGAAAGCCGGTATATAAAGTACAGTTGCATTTTTTGTTTGCCTGCATGAATGGTCCTGGGGGCGCGGAAAGTTCCCTTGGTATCTAGCTCCCAGTAGGGAGAGGTGGCTACATTCCCCTCACAGTATCTCCCTACCATGTAACTTACAAGCTGCCAGTTGCTATGGAAAGATCATGATAGCATGTGATAAGTGAGGCGTTTTTCACCACTAATGATTTTATCAGCATTGTGCCGTATATTTAGTCTCTAAAATGGTACATTCCCTCGGTGGTGTGTTTTTCCCCCATAAATCTGTTGCTCCAGGTCATCCAGGGCCTGATCCAAAGACTTTCTAGTCAATGGGACTCTTTCACCTGACTTCAGTGGGTTGTGGATCAGACACTGTGTCCTTTGAGTGGACACAGAAAATATGTCCCTCTTATTTGCTGGGACTGGCTATCACCATATTGTGGTGGCTAATGGGGTTCATGAATGCATTAGCAGTGAGAACTTTAATACATGATGATAATGAATCCCTTGGACTGATGGCTAGCTTCTCTCAGGCACCCGCCCAATAGCAGCTGGAAAAGGGAGTCGCTCAAGTGGCATTGGCAGGTGCCTCACGGAGTCTGCCAGGGTAGCCAAGCTCTGTATGCCAGGAGCTGCAGCTCAGGGTCAGATGGAGGGACAGAGAGGAGGCTGCTGCTAGCAGAATTCAGGAGCCGAAAGGGATTGGATTCTGAAATGGCCAAAACTTTCAAAAGAGACTTGTGATTTCAGGCACCTCCATTTTTGGGTGCCCAAACTCAGAGGCCTTTGAGGTGTCTTCCATGCCTGTATGTGCATATCTCTTGGTCTGATTGATTCTTCTCCTCACTTCAGATATCAGATGGGAATGTATCGTTTCACCCCAGCCCACGCTTAGTTCTTTGGTCCCTCTGCCATCACTGAATGCTGCAAAGTGGAGGCAGGAGTCCAGTTGGAGCAGGGCAGGGCAGAGATCCAGGTACAGAGCTGGGAGGAGAGCAGAGAAGGGTCAGCACTGAAAGAAGGTGGGTGAGGTATGAATGGAGGAACAGAGAGAGAGAGCAAGGATCTTCAGGTCTGTTTCAGGGAGAGCCTAGCCTCTTGAGAAACCTGGGGGTGTCTCACTGAAACCAATACAGTTATAAGCACCTTTCTCCCACCTTTCTCCCTCTGGGTGAACACCCTTTCTCTCCCTTGAGTTCCCCCTTCTCTCTTTCCTAGAGCAAGTCCCCTTCTCTTCCCCCCAGTGGGGGTGGTCTCTTCCTTTCCTCTCTCTCCCTGGAGTTACCCATTCATCTCTCCTCCCATTTCCTTGCCTCATTTTTCTCTCTTTCCCCCTTTTCTCTCTTCCTAGGGGTCCCCCGGATTCCTGATGCCCCAGGACAGGTACCTTCTCTAAGGGCAGAATTCAGTCTTAACTAGGGAGAGACTATAAATAGCAAGAATTATTTATATTTGCTTAGTTGTATCTCTGCCCAAGCCCTTTAACTAACATGATACGACTCAGCATTAAGGTAACGAATTAACAGTCTGGTTGGACATCTCCCTAAAACTGGCCAAACTGTTCCAGACTTTCCCAGAATGCACTGGGTCTCAAGGGATGGATTCTCTGGGGCTGCTTCTGCTCTGATTGTTCCTACGCCTCTCCCAGGGCCCCGTTCTACACCAGTTCAACACAATCCTACTCCTTCCTGCTGCACTGAGAAATCTGCTGACTGTCTCCCATTCCCTGTCCCTGCAGGGCGTACATGAGCGTGAAGGAGCTGAAGGAGGCACTGCAGCTGAACAGCACACACTTCCTCAATGTCTACTTTGCCAGCTCGGTGCGGGAGGAGCTGGCAGGTGCCGCCACCTGGCCATGGGATAAAGAGGCCCTCAGCCATCTGGGTAAGCCAGTCCCCTTATGTGACTCCCATGTGTCAGCTTCTCCCTCTGTGACTGGTGCACAGGAGACAGCTGCCTACTTCGACACTCATAGGGCATGGGGAGGCAGGTGGGGCCAGTGGTCTGATCCAAAGCCCGATGGAGTCAGTGGCAAGACTCTGATTGACTTGAGTGGGTTCTGGATCAGACCCTGTGGCCTTCAGCATATGCAGTAGAGGCCTGTGCTTTGGAGCTAGGAGTCCTGCATTCATCCCAACCAGGGGCTGTTATACTTGAGATGGCCAGCCCCTCGGGGTGGGGACGGAGCACAGGAAGAGCGCTTCCTTAGGATAGGCGCTCCTATCCAGGGGAGCTGTGATTGGGGTTTCATCTGGAAAGGAGCAAGGGAATCTTAACGTCAGGCCTGACTGTGGCCACACCAAGAGAGTCGGCGCAGACATGCCAGGGAGGATCAGAGTCAGAAGGTAAGTGATGTGGATCCATCCAAATTTACTGCCGTGAGCCCCAAGAGAAGCTTTGGAGAGAGGTTCAGAAAAGTTCCTTTTTCTCGTTTTGAGAGCAGAGGGGCTACAATTATGGCCAGTGTGGGGGAGAGGGCAGGCAGGGCTGCCCTATGGGCTGAGCAGCTTCCAAGGGGGCTGCTTGTTCTTTCCCCACCCTAGCATGACTTCTGTCTAGCCCTACAGAGATCCAGAACCCCCCTGCTGGGGCAGCACACAGAGAGAGGCAGCAGGGGCTGCAATAGTAGCAACGCTGGGTTGAACAGATTAGCTGTGTGTATAATTTGCAGGCTTCCTTTTTTGATTTCAAGAGAACTAAAGAAGAGATTTGAATGCTTCCAGAGCAGGCCATCAGCACCAGGCATTAGCACCGAGGGCTCCTCTACGCAAACATCAGTACAGATGCCAGATCTAGTCACTTTTTTAGAGCCTGATCCAACACCCAGCCAAGTCAATGGAAAGAATCCCACTGCCTTCAGTAGGCTTGGGAACAGGCCCCTAAATCAGCCCCAATAAAAAGTGGAGAGCAGGAGGTGCTAGAGTGACCAGATGTCCTGATTTTATAGGGACAGTCCCAATTTTTGGGTCTTTTTCTTATATAGGCTCCTATTACCTCCCACCCCCATCCCGATTTTTCACACGAGCTATCTGGTCACCCTAGGAGGTGCTCCCCCAATGGGGCACAGATAGCTGCTGTTCAAACAGAACTGATGTGGTTCATGTTTCCTTCTCTTCTGCATGTCTTTTTCTTTTTCTCTTTCTTCTATTTCCCTCTTTTTCCCCCCCTACCTTCCCTCCCTCTCTCTGCTCTCAGACATTTCTGGCAGAGCCCTTTACTCTTTGCAGTCAAAACATCTTACTGAGCAACACTTAAGTAACTGGAAGTAATTGCTCCCGGCACCTGCACGCCAGACCTTGACCTTCTGCTTTTATAGCGTGGGATGTTCAAACCTTCAAATTTTAAACAGCCATTGGAGCACTGTTTGAAAGTTATTTTTACAGTTTCCTTTCTTCAGCGTGCTGAATGCTCACAGTGCCGTGGATTTTGGGGCTGGCTTCTCAGCTGCAGAGTGCTCCACTTACTTGTTGAGGAAGGCAGATCTCCGTGGAATTCATTCCTTCAGCTACCAAGAATCATTTTCAAGGCTCAGCCACTTGTGACTGACATTAATTTTCCTACAACCAGCTCCTCAGTCATACTCCTTCTCTTCAACCCCCTCTGACTGTCCGTGTGTGTCCCCTATCCCTTCCCTTCATCACCAGGCCTTTCTCGGCTCCTTTTCAGTGCACACCTCTGACTCTGTGTTCATTAAGATGCGTGCAGGAAGGCAGCGGGGTAGTCTGATGTCTCAAAGCCTTGAATTTACCTTATTCAGGCTCATCCAGCCTGAAATCGTAAGCCAAGCTAGGCACCTGCTGCAATGTTTGAGTCAAGCGCTTCAACTAAAGGTCCTGGGGTGGGGTGGGCTTTAGCCTGGCATTAGAGCCAGTGCTGGGAAGTTTGCATCTGGATCTGAACTTTGCCGAAGCTCAGGCATGGATTGAAGGCTTTGGTTCAAGACTGTCTCTTCTTTTGTGAGGGAGGGTGACATCTTTGCATTCAATCAACAGGTGTTTCCACCACACAGACATCACTTCACACATTGTAGCATGCATACCTGTCTCGGTTCAGAAGAGGCATAGGAACAAGCAGTAGTTCATTTGGACTTCAAAAAACAAAGCTTTTGACAAAGATCCAGATCCTCAAAGGTGCCTAATGCCCATTGGTTTTATTGGGAGTTAGGCACCTAAATACCTTGAGAATCTGGATCAAAGTCCCTCTGTCAGGGTTCCCTCCCCACTCTGAACTCTGGGATACAGATGTGGGGACCTCCATGAAGGCCCCCCTAAGCTTATTTCTACCAGCTTAGGTTAAAATTTCCCCAAGGCACAAATCCTTTCCTTGTCCTTGGATGGTATTGCTGCCACCACCAAGTGAGTTAGACAAAAATTCAGGAAAAAGGGCCACTTGGAGTCCCTGTTATCCCAAAATATTCCCACAAACCCCTTCACCCCCTTTCCAGGGGAGGCTTGAGATTAATATAGTAACCAATTAGTTACAATGTGAGCACAGACCAAACCCCTGGGTTTTTAGGACACTGAAAATCAATCAGGTTCTTAAAAGAAGAATTTTATTTTTTAAAAAAGTAAAAGAATCACACCTGCAAAATCAGGATGGAAGGTAACTTTACAGGGTAAATAAAAAGATTTAAAACACAGAGGATTCCCCTCTGATTCTGCTTTCCAGTTACAAAACAGGAATGAAATTACTTCTTAGCATAGGGAAAATTCACAAGCTAAAACAGAAGATAATCTAACGCATTTCCTTGCCTTACTTACAATTTTTCTAATCTTATATGCTCATTTCAGGTAGGTTTTTAGGAGATGTTTTTTCCTGCCTAGTCCCTCTCTCCATCCAGAGAGGGAACAAACAAAGAGAGCACAAACAGAACCTCCCCCCCTGCAGATTTGAAAGTATCTTCTTTCCCCATTGGTCCTTCTGATCAGGTGACCACTAGGTTAATTGAATGATTAACCCCTTAGAGGTAAGGCAATTATGTACCGCTTCCCTGTTCATATTTATGACACCCTCACATGAGCCTATGTTGGACAAATCCTTCTCACGTATGCATGGGAGTCCACTTTATCCCCTCTTCTCTGGATAAAACTATAATTATCAATTATCAAGACTGGGGAGCCCATATGGACAACCGCATGACACAAGGGATGTGGACATCTCGAGAATCCAGAATGCACATTGATGTCCTGGAACTTTGAACAGTATGAAAGGCATGCAAGTTCCTTCTTCCATTCATCCACTGTCACCATGTCCTGATAATGTCAAATAACACTATGACCATATTCTACATCAACAAGCAAGGGGGAGCAAAGTCTGCCTCCCTGTGCGCAGAAGCAGTCAACCTCTGCAACTGGTGCATCACTAATCAGATCACCCTATCTGCAGCCTACCTTCTGGGGAAGCAGAATGTGCTCACAGATTCCCTCCAGCAGATGCTTTGGGATCGACCACGAGTGGGAACTCCACAACAGGGTGCTACATGACTTTTCACGCAATGGGGAATCCCAGTCAGAGTTCTGTTCACTTCTCAAACCAACAGCAAGTGCACCATGTATTGCTCCAGAGAAGCTCTCAGTTATCACTTCCAGGGTGATGCGCTCCTTCTCTCCTGGTCAGACCAGCTCAACTATGCTACCACTCTTATCACGGGTGCTGCACAAGATCCAACAAGACAAGGTGACTGTCATCCTCATCACCCATTCTGGCCTAAACAGTTTGGTTCCCCAGCCTCCTGCATACATGTTGTCTCCCCTACCGATTGCCATCCTGACCTTTCTAGAGCTCCTGATCCTAGAATGTCCATGCTCCTCAGCCATGCAGGACATCCTTTCTATTAGCAGAAAGGACTCTACTAGAAAATGTTACCTGTCTAAATGGAAACGCTTCTACACTTGGACACAGCTAAGAGGCATTATGTTAGAGGCCACAGACATTCTCTTCATTTTAGACTATAAAAGATATCAGGTCTCTCCCTCAGCTCCCTGTGAGTCCACCTAGCAGCAATCAGCGTGTTCCATCCTCCTACTGAGGGCTACTCCAGTTTTGCACACCCTCTAACCAACCGAGTCTGGAACGGCCTCATAAGAACCTTTCCACTTCCTCAAAAGATCACACCCCAATGGGACCAGAATCTTGTTCTCTCGGCACTAATAAGCCCTCTCCCCGCTTTGAGCCTTTAGCTACTTGCTCCATGGTCCTTCTCTCTATGAAGGTCATCTTCCTTGTAGCTATCACTTCAGCACAAAGGGTTGGTAAACTTGGAACAAGGATGGCAGACCCTCCATTCACTGTGTTCCACAAAGATAAAGTTTCCTTATATTTATACCCCAAAGTAGTTTAGGAGATTCACAGTATCAGTGCATTCACTTGTATTCTTCCTGAAACCACACGTGTCTGTGGAAAGTAGACTCCGCTCCCTTGATATGCGACGAGCTTTGGCCTTTTCCCTACAGAGAACAAGACCAATCAGGAAGTCCCCAAGACAGTTTATCGCGATAGCAGAGAGAGTCAGTGGGCACACTGCCTCCTCCCAGAGAATTTCTAAATGGCTTCCCAGCTGCGTTCTACTTGGCTATCAGCTCTTGAACTTCCCGCCCCCTACAGGGGTACGAGCTCACTCCACTACCAGGTTGCAATGACCAGGTTGTCTCTTCAGGACGTACACCCCCTAGACATCTGTAAAGCAGTCATATGGAGTTTCATCCACACATTTTCAAAACTTTACACCCTGGTGCAGGACTCAACTGCTGATGCCTCCTTTGGAACAGCAGTGCTCTGCTCAACCTTACTGTCCTCATCCTCGCATCCTCATCTTGCTTAGGTACAGCTTGTCAGTCACCCACCATGGAATACAATAGGGACCATCACTCAAAGAAGAAGAAGAG